AATACCAGCTATACCTACAGTGTAAAATATTCAACATGTATGTGGTGACCATGTCTCTGTTTACAGGGCAGTGATCACTGACTGAAACAGGGATTACAAAAGGGTATCAGATTTATCAGGAAGATGGTATTTGCTTTGGACATTTTAAGCATACAGTCATTTTTTAAAATATAGGTTGAAAATCTGATGTTTGAAATGCTCCTAAATTCAAAACTTCTAGAGCACCAAGATGATACAAAAAAATTTCAAATTTCAGATTTTTAAATTAGTGATGTTGAAATGGTTAAGTCTATACAAATTTTCCAAAATCCAATATTCTCTGAAGTGTGAAATACTTCTTATCCCAAGCATTTTGGGTAGGGGATGCTCAACCTATATTCAGGTGGCCCCTCTGAGTGACAGGTTGGAGAGAAGAGAGCCAGCTTGAGATAAGGGATTCGGGAGTGGGCCGCACATTTGTGATGTGAGTCACAAGTGTAGGTGAGATTGACTGAGGAGAAGAAAGAGCTTAGATGGAACCTGAGGGATGGCATGAATTGAGAAGCAAGCTCACACAGAAAACCAAAAATGGCAAGAAGACAGAGTCTGGCCACAGAATCTAAAGGGAAAGAACATTTCCCAAAGGAGGAATCTGTTTACCAGTGTCTAGTGCAAAAAAGGACAGACAAGGACTGAAGTCAGGCTATGAATTTCTCAAATAGATAAGACCTGCTCAGGTGTCTTCTGGAAAATTACTCGCCAGGGTCATATGATCAGATTACATCTCCTTTTAACAATTTGTACAACTGTACCTTGTAACAATTTATACTTATCTTACTAACAATTACCTAGTAAGCAGCAATTGGGATAACTGAAGGTTTTTCCTATTACATCTTTTCCCATTTTATCAGAAGTGAAAAAAACAAAGTTCTTGAAACAAGCAAAATCTCATAACTGCTATATTCTGTCTGGGCTTTTTCCACTTGAATACGGTGCTGTCCAGCACAGCATGGGTTCTTTTGTTTAATATATGTGTTCCTGTGTCAGGGGAGGGCTCATTTCTTCTCTCCCAGTTTTTATTGAGATAGTATAAAAACTTCTCTTGTCTAAAGGACAATGGAAAAGCTCTGTAAACTCAACAAGCCAAAACAACTGTTTACCTATTGGAGATTTTATTAGCAGGACCATAGC